ATAGTTTCGCTTTTATTGAGTCTGATTGAGTGTTCAGTTTGGGTTTCATTTCCTGGATAAAAAGCATTTCGTAGATCAAGCATTCAAATTTCCCACGACACATAGTGGACAACAAATTCCCAAGGATTATGAATCATACTTGGTAAAATTCCCTAATAAATTGCATTAAGTTACATGACCTAGCCCCCTTAATATAAAATCAACCACGGTCAAGGTGCATAGCAATTTCCATGTATTTCTCCCTCAACTTCCAGCCCATACAATATTATTGTTAGTACAGCATTATTAACATTTCAACTGACCTGGGTTTCTTGTAATGGTGTGTTGAAATATTTAGTAGCATCCCATAATGCAAGTTTGCCATCTAAGCCACCAGACAACAATGTTCCATTCTCCAGCAGACGTACACAAAAAATGCTTTTCTGTTTGTGAAAAAAAACAAAGTTAGAGAATGTGCTACAGTTACACCTCTATCCTGGATTGCTATGTATAAAAATATCTCGAAAATATATAGCCAAATGACCACAACATTCCCTTATTGTGTGACTTGAGTGAAAATCTTTAATACAGACACCAAAGGAACAGAAACAACCATCAACAAATTATGTTGCAGAGGTGTCTACACCTTGGAGGTGCAAATTTTCTGAAGTTGGTATCAAGGTTTTCACCAAAAAAATGCTTCTAATAAAGGGGTACTTATTATCAAAAAGATTTCTGTAAGGAGAGGTGCGACTGTCAGAGAAGTCTGCATGATGCTGTTTTTATTGCCTGCTGATTGACTGATAAATTAACTGATTTTATCAACTTATCAGGAACCTATAAAAATATGGAATGTATTTCTTACCTCATGAGCATTCCTAGCAACAAACTTGATCTTTTTAGAAACTAGAGGAAAATAATATTAGCAAAATTATGTCATGCTGAACCAGTAGCTGAATCCTCAAACTAAACCATGAGAAACCCTAAGAAAAATAAACCTTAATTATGATGCTCTGGCCCCTCCTGGCCAAAAATTTTTTACAAAAGTGGGCAGGATAATAAGAGCATAGCTGCTGGTGGCAAAGACCTAATTTTAAACTGTGGTAGTTAAATATTGTTACTAAACCTAAATTTTTGGAAGAAGGTAATACTCTGTTGAAAGTGGCAAAATGGCCGGCTGCTGGTTCATTTTGACTTGGCTGCTGGCGGATTATTTACAGTAATGCAAGGTCAAGCGTACTCCCATAGATTCCATTAATTAATCGATTATTTGTAAAATGAATCCGTCAGTTGTTACCGCAACAAGTATACATGTGAGCAGTGAATTTTTTGCAATGACATCTCTGCACTTGGTCAGATTGAAAAATCTTTGAAAATATGGACAAAATTGCTTTAGGATTTACATCAAATTCAAGAAAACTGAGATGGTAGAAATATCATAACCAGCTGGCATGTGAATTTACTGGTCATTACGCAAGCAGGAAATATGTAGATATGAATCTGAGACTACAACTACCAAATAATAAATTTGTTAATGTCAGAATCTTGGGAGGTATGCTTGACCTGGCTTGACTAGTACTGTAATAGCAAAATGTGACTGTCTTGTACCTTTTCCCCACACTGTGATTGATCCATTTGAATCTCCAGTAACAACATCCCCATTTGGTGAAAATTCTATGCAGGTAAAGTACTGTGGGATTTCATACTTCTGCCAGACAGAAAAAACAAAATAACAATGACTGAAAACAAAGGAACAACAGCAAGGCTTCATGCAATCCACAGTTCTAGTCCAAGAAGTTATCAGAACCTTTGGGAAGTGGACTACAGTTGACACACTTGTCTTATAATTATGTGCATCTTTAGCAACAATTTCTTATACATTTATCATTTAATTCTGTTTAAATGCTGTAAATCCCCCACCCCTGAATCAATGTTCTTTCTGGTACAAAAGTTAACTTAGCCCAGTCTCCTTTTTGTTTTTAAAGAGGACTTGAGGAAATCACACAGCTATAATGCTAGTACTGTACCTCAGAGAAGCCACTTTTTCTCTCTAGTCTGGTGTTATGAAGTCTCCAAAAGTGAATGTGTTCCTTGCCACATGTGACTAAAGTTTTACTATCATCTGGATCAAAGGCAACAGCAACAACCGCACTGGACATAGCCTATCAATAACACAAATAATGTCTGCATCAGACCACTGTCTTTGGTGGTGAAAAACTTGGGAAGCAGAACAACATTGAGAAAAGAATATCAGCCTGTGCCACAGATGAATTACTGGAAGTGAATTCTGGGAATCAGCACCAAAATCCTTGTTCTTCGCTCCCAGCTGTGTACCCGGATTTGAGTATGTACCATGGTTGGCCTGTTGACCCTTTAAGCCCTAAGAGTGATCAGCATCAAATTTCTCCTTGTAATATCAATGCTTTGTAAAACAGAGTGGTCATGAGAATTACGGACATGATCACACAGATGAATTTACTTGATATTTTATCAACTTCTCCCCACTACTTCTGTAGGAAATGAATAGGGGCAACAAATGAGAATTCAAATTTTGATCTTAGGGTTTAAAGGGTTAAAAGGCCATTGTGTAGTTGGTTAATCAGGTTGAAGTGAAATTCGAAATGCACTTCAAGTAATTCATTGGGTCTGTTAAAGGCTGCAGAACAAGGATTTTGGCATTGCATCTCAGATGTTACAATAATATTAAACTGGGGTTAGATTATGTCTATGACCCAGGCTACAGAATAAAAAAGCCTGCTAATAATCAGCCTAATTGCAAACTAAAAATACTACTTATTTTAATAACCATTGGACTAATCACCTTGCTCTGTTGCATGATAGCTCTCTCTTCCCAGTCCCATACACTGAGGTGATAATCATCATCCGATGCATCCACACAGGCCAGCTGTTTGCCATTATCCTGCAAATGAAAATATTAAATTGAAAAAAATTTTTGAAGGGCTTGGAATAACAATTTGCTTAATATGAAGAATACCTCATTTAATGGATCTAAATCCTAATATCTAGGCAATCTGATATCAATTAAAGAACCAACTTAGTATTTTTATTACTAGTTAGTTTCATACTAAATGGCATGTGTGGCACTCCTCAGGCAATTTTATCTAAAATAATGCAAAACAGGCTGTTGGGTTCAACTTGAATGCAACTGTCTGCAAACTGGTCATACTGTAAAATTCCGAAAATAAGCCCTGGGCTTATATTTTTCAAAGGCCCTTTTTGAGGGTCTTATTTTTGGAGGGTCTTATCTACAGAGGGAAAATTGCGTTTCAAAATCGATTGGGCTGGCCTTATAGTTGGAAGGAAATTTACCATTTTTGCTTTCTTTAACTTTGTATTTGAGGGCAATTTCAAAGCACAAGCCCCTCGGGGGGGGGCTTATATTTGGAGGGCAATTCAACGGAGGGTTTTTTGCGTTACGAGTTTGGGGGGCTTATACATGGAGGGGCTTATTTTCGGAATTTTACGGTATTCTATCAGCACATGCCACCATCATCATTATCATCATCACTATCAGGGCAGCCTTAGCTGAGCTGAACCCATGGCTTATCCAGTTTGCCTGATCTTTCATCATGCCAAGAACTCGCTGGTGCATGAAGCTCCCAACCCCTCATCAGAGTACTTGTTATCATGCATAATAAATAGATGTAAGGATTGTCTAAGCCAACAGACCTCTTGAGAGAATGCCAGACAGGAAATGCTTAGATTGTAGTCTTGTAAAGATAAAACAGCTAAAGTTATCAGGGTCTCTGCATCCCAGATACGAATATGACTCTGTTGACGGAAAAACACAGCCACCATAAAAATCGCTATTATTTTATAATAAGGGTCACCAAATACAAACAATAACTTTGCAGAAAGCTTCAATGAAGACAAAAAGCAAAAAGAGTCCTTTTGTCTAAATGTTCACTAACTCGAAAGTCATTTCATGCTTATTTTTATTTGCCTGGCTTCGCATACAAATACTCAATTTTATTTTATTTTGCAGTTTTTAATAAGCAAGTTAGCTCAAAACCTATCAGATTAAAAACTCCTATTTAAATTGCTTTTAAATATTGAAAGGCTGAAATGACTACTGGAAATAACCTGCAATAAGTTCCTTAGTGACTCCTGATCTAATTTCAGATTCTCCTCTTGATTACCAAGTAAGTACAAGGCAAGTAAAAGGAGAATCTGTCGTTTTATCAGAGTCACTTGTGGCGTTGTTACAGGCACTCGATAAACATTAATTATTAGATAACACACAGTTGCATTTTCACACAGTATAGTGTGGCAATGTAATCAAAAGTGACTCCAAAAGAACAAGACTTACAAGTTCATTTTGGTCGACAGACAAACCAGATGCTTGGCCTGTTGCTATGTACCACTGGTTTGGATGAATGGCCATGCTGCAAAAGAGAACAATAAGCCTTGTATTAACATTGTTCAAAGATTAAAATATGTTTGTTTATAGTGGAAAGTGCATTCAGTTTATCCAACAAGTGTACAGGCACTCCACTTAAATAATTCTGAAACAAAGAATCCAAATAGAACATAACAGGATTAACCCTTTAAACCCTAATATCAAAATTCAAATTCTCATTTGCTGTCCCTATTTGTTTTCAATAGAAGTAGTGGGGAGAAATTATTGAAGTATCAATTAGATTCATCTTGTGTGATCAGGTCCTCAATTCTCATGACCACTGTGTTTTATAAAGAAGTGATACTACAAGGAGAAATTTGACATTGATCACTCTTAGGGCTTAAAGGGTTAAAACTCCCACCTCACAGGAGGCAACAGGTTGGCTGATTACGAGCGTGGCCGTGGATTTGAACGAGGGAAGACCGAGAACAAATCCAGCAAGTGGCCAGAGGGGAATGTGAATCTGGGACTGCTGGATTGCGAGTCCAACACACTGGCCACGCAGCCATGTATCAAAGTATCAAAGTATGAACAGCAACATTTATTAAAAATAAATGCATGAATAATTATTATACCATTTAATGTCATCTGCATGGCCTGTGTAATGCTGCTGATTGTTTGTCTCCTTGTTATAAATGACAGCTATTGTGGAAACAAAGTACAGCATCTCTCCTGATGGCAAAGTGTGTAAATTGTTAAAAGTGTCTTTACCATGGTAACCATATCTATTAATATCATCATGTCAAGGAAAACAGATGGTTATTAAGAAAACTAAAATCTATTAGGTTGATTTATGATTATTGACTCATTTTCACACATATAAGAACTACTACACAGTTTGTCGCAACATCAGTCACCATTGACAATACCATTTATTCACGACTACCCTCAACCAGATTGAAGATCATATCCCACTAATATTTGACAGGATCCCTGGGTTCAAAAAACATATTTCACTACAAGGTTTCATTGTTGAACACTACAAGTTTATGAGCTATTCTTGGTAAAGAGAAGTTAAAAGATACACCCAGGACATCTGAAGCCTGGAGTCTGGAGGTGACACTGGTGTGTCATCAATTGTGTAGTTATCCATCTCTGAAGTGTGCTGATAAGTATGCACTTGTCCTTTCATAGCCTGCTAATAATCAGCCTAATTGCAAACTAAAAATACTACTTATTTTAATAACCATTGGACTAATCACCTTGCTCTGTTGCATGATAGCTCTCTCTTCCCAGTCCCATACACTGAGGTGATAATCATCATCCGATGCATCCACACAGGCCAGCTGTTTGCCATTATCCTGCAAATGAAAATATTAAATTGAAAAAAATTTTTGAAGGGCTTGGAATAACAATTTGCTTAATATGAAGAATACCTCATTTAATGGATCTAAATCCTAATATCTAGGCAATCTGATATCAATTAAAGAACCAACTTAGTATTTTTATTACTAGTTAGTTTCATACTAAATGGCATGTGTGGCACTCCTCAGGCAATTTTATCTAAAATAATGCAAAACAGGCTGTTGGGTTCAACTTGAATGCAACTGTCTGCAAACTGGTCATACTGTAAAATTCCGAAAATAAGCCCTGGGCTTATATTTTTCAAAGGCCCTTTTTGAGGGTCTTATTTTTGGAGGGTCTTATCTACAGAGGGAAAATTGCGTTTCAAAATCGATTGGGCTGGCCTTATAGTTGGAAGGAAATTTACCATTTTTGCTTTCTTTAACTTTGTATTTGAGGGCAATTTCAAAGCACAAGCCCCTCGGGGGGGGGCTTATATTTGGAGGGCAATTCAACGGAGGGTTTTTTGCGTTACGAGTTTGGGGGGCTTATACATGGAGGGGCTTATTTTCGGAATTTTACGGTATTCTATCAGCACATGCCACCATCATCATTATCATCATCACTATCAGGGCAGCCTTAGCTGAGCTGAACCCATGGCTTATCCAGTTTGCCTGATCTTTCATCATGCCAAGAACTCGCTGGTGCATGAAGCTCCCAACCCCTCATCAGAGTACTTGTTATCATGCATAATAAATAGATGTAAGGATTGTCTAAGCCAACAGACCTCTTGAGAGAATGCCAGACAGGAAATGCTTAGATTGTAGTCTTGTAAAGATAAAACAGCTAAAGTTATCAGGGTCTCTGCATCCCAGATACGAATATGACTCTGTTGACGGAAAAACACAGCCACCATAAAAATCGCTATTATTTTATAATAAGGGTCACCAAATACAAACAATAACTTTGCAGAAAGCTTCAATGAAGACAAAAAGCAAAAAGAGTCCTTTTGTCTAAATGTTCACTAACTCGAAAGTCATTTCATGCTTATTTTTATTTGCCTGGCTTCGCATACAAATACTCAATTTTATTTTATTTTGCAGTTTTTAATAAGCAAGTTAGCTCAAAACCTATCAGATTAAAAACTCCTATTTAAATTGCTTTTAAATATTGAAAGGCTGAAATGACTACTGGAAATAACCTGCAATAAGTTCCTTAGTGACTCCTGATCTAATTTCAGATTCTCCTCTTGATTACCAAGTAAGTACAAGGCAAGTAAAAGGAGAATCTGTCGTTTTATCAGAGTCACTTGTGGCGTTGTTACAGGCACTCGATAAACATTAATTATTAGATAACACACAGTTGCATTTTCACACAGTATAGTGTGGCAATGTAATCAAAAGTGACTCCAAAAGAACAAGACTTACAAGTTCATTTTGGTCGACAGACAAACCAGATGCTTGGCCTGTTGCTATGTACCACTGGTTTGGATGAATGGCCATGCTGCAAAAGAGAACAATAAGCCTTGTATTAACATTGTTCAAAGATTAAAATATGTTTGTTTATAGTGGAAAGTGCATTCAGTTTATCCAACAAGTGTACAGGCACTCCACTTAAATAATTCTGAAACAAAGAATCCAAATAGAACATAACAGGATTAACCCTTTAAACCCTAATATCAAAATTCAAATTCTCATTTGCTGTCCCTATTTGTTTTCAATAGAAGTAGTGGGGAGAAATTATTGAAGTATCAATTAGATTCATCTTGTGTGATCAGGTCCTCAATTCTCATGACCACTGTGTTTTATAAAGAAGTGATACTACAAGGAGAAATTTGACATTGATCACTCTTAGGGCTTAAAGGGTTAAAACTCCCACCTCACAGGAGGCAACAGGTTGGCTGATTACGAGCGTGGCCGTGGATTTGAACGAGGGAAGACCGAGAACAAATCCAGCAAGTGGCCAGAGGGGAATGTGAATCTGGGACTGCTGGATTGCGAGTCCAACACACTGGCCACGCAGCCATGTATCAAAGTATCAAAGTATGAACAGCAACATTTATTAAAAATAAATGCATGAATAATTATTATACCATTTAATGTCATCTGCATGGCCTGTGTAATGCTGCTGATTGTTTGTCTCCTTGTTATAAATGACAGCTATTGTGGAAACAAAGTACAGCATCTCTCCTGATGGCAAAGTGTGTAAATTGTTAAAAGTGTCTTTACCATGGTAACCATATCTATTAATATCATCATGTCAAGGAAAACAGATGGTTATTAAGAAAACTAAAATCTATTAGGTTGATTTATGATTATTGACTCATTTTCACACATATAAGAACTACTACACAGTTTGTCGCAACATCAGTCACCATTGACAATACCATTTATTCACGACTACCCTCAACCAGATTGAAGATCATATCCCACTAATATTTGACAGGATCCCTGGGTTCAAAAAACATATTTCACTACAAGGTTTCATTGTTGAACACTACAAGTTTATGAGCTATTCTTGGTAAAGAGAAGTTAAAAGATACACCCAGGACATCTGAAGCCTGGAGTCTGGAGGTGACACTGGTGTGTCATCAATTGTGTAGTTATCCATCTCTGAAGTGTGCTGATAAGTATGCACTTGTCCTTTCACTTTAATGGTAACAGTCTGGCTTTGAACTGAAAGTTAATAAACACAAAATTCAGTATGTAAATACACTTTACATTTCAACATTCATCAATATGAGCCATGAACAAAATTAATATGAGCCAACATTAACTTTTATTTTAGGCTAAAATATCATTAATTTTATAGAAGTTTTCCTTTTTATCCGGCAAGGCGATACAAGTATAGCCTGAGAAACCACCGACATTTTGTGACACCACCACTGGTTTCACCACAAAATGAAGGCTGAGGAAATAAGCGCAGAAATCCCATACTGATGATGTGTCACCAGCCAGATCTGGGTAGTGCTTCTAATTGGTCGTATCATGAAGGAAACTTCAAGCTACAACTAATATTATTACACGTACTACCCAGATCTGGGTAGTGACACATCACCAGAATGGAATTTGGATCATTATACGTTTCTGGGGAACTGCCCACCTACCCCTCCCCTAAGCTAACATTAGCACTTACTTCTCACTTAGGGCAAAATGTTGGCTTAGGGGAGGGGTAGGTGGGCAGTTTCCCCAGAAATGTCTAACGATCCAGAATCTCTGTGCTTGCTTCTCAGACATCATTTCGCAGGCAAACCAGTGAGATGTCAGCTATTTTCTGAGATCATCATGTACAGTTTATAAAGAGTTAAATAGCTCATACCTGTAGATTCATCTCTAGGTTTTTTTCTGGGTTTTTGGGTACGCGCCTTTTGAGGAGGTGATGCTGAATGGCCATTGCTGCTGAGTGACGATGGGTTTGATAGATTTCTTTTGAAGCCCTGTTCTGTGCTGGAGGCAATGAAAGTATCTGCATCTCGAAATAACTGGGACAAGCCTCTCACCTGGAAAAGAATGAATAAAATATTATTCAAAACTCATCAAATGGCTACAGGCACTAAAATATTTGCTGAACCTCTCCTTATGAACACATCCATTAACCCTTTAAGTCCCAATAGTGATTAACATCAATTTTCTCCTAACAATATCCATACATTATCAAGAGATTTGGTTATGAGAATTAATAAAATGATCAGCTAAGAGAAAATGCTTTGATCTTTTATCAAATTCTCTCAACTCATTCTTTAAGGAATTATATCGAGATCAGTTTGGAGAATTTGTATGTGGATATTGGGACTTAAAGGGTTAAAAGGCAATCTTTCTGCTTCAAGGATAAATTCTCAACTCTCAGGCAGTACCCTTGGCTAAGCTGCAGATAGCTCACATACGACAAATACATGTAAGCTTACCATGCTGACACTTAAACCGGGACATTTGGAAGAAGATTATCCAATGACAATGTTTTCTGAAAACAACAGATTCTCAAGTTCTTTGCAAACGGACCAATAAAATTCAAGGTTCAACTATGCAAACATTAAAAATATTAAAACAGTTTGAACTAACTTGACCTCTCAGAAAACAGCCCTAAAATTTATAACTATTATTGGTCTATTTCGAGTAATAAAAATTGAGAATGTTTTGTTTTCAGAAAATGTTGTGATTGGACAATCTTCTTCCAAGTGTCCTGGTTTGAGTGTCCACACTGTAATACGGACACCTGAGTGGACACTGGGTTTTGTATCTTTGGTATCTATTTAAAGAGGTTTGATGTTGAATATCTTTGTTTTCTTATTCTTTTACAAGGTTTCTTTGGTTACAATACGTAAATACACTCTAATCAGGGTGCAAAGAAAACCAATTTTACAGCTTGCCATTTGGGCAAGCTGTAGCTAGCATGTACTAGCCCGAAAGTCGTTCAATTAGGCCAAAAAAAATTGGATGAGCAGGATTGACTACGTTCTTCTGTTATTCGAATTGCTAAAAAAAATATCACTTGCCCGTCGGTCAAGTTAAAAACAGAATTCACTAGCCCGATAGCAAAATCCACTAGCCCCGGGCTATCAGACACTACTTTCTTTGCACGCTTGTCAAACCCCACTTTATGGACACCCATTTACTGAGGACACCTCATTATTATGGACAGCTTGCTTTGTCCCTGGGGAAAGAAAGCCTATACATTTTCTATAAATTCAAGTAGCTCAATATGGACATCTTGTTACTACGGACATTTTCTGTGACCCCCTCAGTGTCCATATTAACTGTACTGACTGTATATAGTAAAATAGAATGCAGAGAACTAATGTTTACTTTTACAATTTACTTGATAAAAGTCTTCATTGTTTGGTGTAAGAAGTGCATAATTTACAGACCAACTATTCATAATAATTATTATGAACAAATCATACAGAATTTTAACTCAAAATAATAATATATATCTGGATATTTCTATGATGTTACAACTGATCAAGCAGGTCACTTTACATTTATAAGAAAAATACCACAGCAAAGGAGAATATGAAAGAATATTTACATAAATTTCACTTGAAAGTTCTAAAAGACATGTAATTGAAATAGCAAGACATAATTAATTATTAAATAGTTACAGGAATAGTTGATCACGTCTCAGGCACACCAAAATCTTGTGTATTTTCAGAAATCTTTTCAAAGAAACGGATATCCAAAACGTTTTTATCTTTTGTTATTTTCAAAAGCAGAGAATAAACATAAAGAACATCTATAATACAAAGAATGTGTCCATTTACAATTTTGCTCAATTTCGAGATTATTTCTTGTTTGTTTTTTTCTAAACAGGACAGGCAGGTGCCTGCGGGGCTAATTATTTTAGCAAAATCTCAATTAAACCCGACAAGTTTACTGATTTTCTTGCAAAATGTGATTCGTATAAACGTTTGACGAATCTGTTTATAAGTTTGGAATGCTTACCTTATCGCCATCTACCGTACGTAGTTCCCGAACCGTAAACTTCAGCATGTCAGAAATGTCCTTTAAAACGTCCTCATAACTTTTCACCGTTTTCCTGTTCAATAAAAGCTTGCATTTCTTGTTTTTATCGTACTCGCTTATCACAGTCACAACTCGCGGTTTCGTGTTACCATTACTCCCGCCAAATCTCGAATCTCTACTTGAGGCGGTGGAAATCGAGGAGGCTTCAGAAGAACTCTCTCCATCAAGCCTGCGAGGTTTTTCTTTATCTTTCGGTTTTTTACCATAATCGACGTTCTTAATAAGCTGATCTCCTGAAGAACAGATATAATATCTTCCATCTTCCAACTGACTCATAGACTCTACCGTGCTTCCGCCGGGAGAAAACACCGTTCTGACCCCGTACGGAAGTGGAATTGCTTTCGAAAGATCCTCCACAATGGTGTCAAATGATCGATAGCGTTGCTTGGTCACAACCATTTCAACTCCTTTGAAATGCTTATCTCCATTTCGATAAAATGTAACTCTTTTGACAGCATTTACTCTGCTTTTTCTCTGATCTCTCCCTGTTTGCGGTTCTGAGGCAGAGATAGGATATTCTGGAGCCGAGGAGTTGAAATTACGGCGACCTCGGGGTTCACCGTAATTTGACTCATGGCCCGCGTTAACTTCATTCGATCTTGCAGGTAATGGAATTCGGCTGTTTAATTTAGCATCCCTTTTCACAGAACGCCTTTCCCGTGGGTCTCTGTCGATGTCAGGAAACCTAATATTACTATTATTATCGTCTAGATCGCTGGTGTTGTCGACTGGAAATGGCCCTCCATTTTGCGCGCCATTTTGCAACGCACGACGTTTATGATAGTTATTCCTGTAACTTTGTCCTCCGCCGCGATGAGACATGCTCAACTATATAAACTTCTCATGCTCACTTAATCAAAATAGCAAAGATCCTTTTCAGCAACTCTCAGCAACGAAGAATAGAGCTTTAAAATTTCCATAGGCAATTCGCGTGATTTTACTCAAGCCAAGCGGTCCATCAAACTTGTTAGCTATTTTACATCGCAAAAACCACGAAAGCCTTTTTCAGTTCAATATTCAGCTTATTTGACTGCACGACAAAGCTGTTAGATCTCGTGTAATCTCATTGTTGTGTACATAAGATTGACGGAAAGGACAGCTTGTTGACTTTCTTGTCCAAATCGCTTTGTGATACGGAGTTTTCACATGTAAGAGAGCTATTTCGAGATCCCCTTTGTTTACTTGCCTACGGTATCGACTTTTAATACCAGAAGGTGTTCCTTCCATTGTTGAGTTAATCAATAGTGTTGTCAGGCTCGCGTAACTAAGCAGGTGCCCGTAAGTACTTAAAAAGACATCATTGAAATGCAAATGTGCCGTCGAAACAACAGGAACAGCCGCCATGTTTTTTACCGAGGCTGAAGTGAACGAGCGAGGCATGGGGTCTACATTCGCTTTTGGTCCTCTTTTTCCCTGGGGAGACTGAGGAGGGGGTTGCACGCCTAGTTGCACGTTAAAGTTGCACGCTGCGATAACCTGAGATCAGGCGTTACTTTTTTTTTCCTCACATTATCTAACGTCTGCCTTGACTGGTCATGTTATTAGCCAATCAGCGTTTACAAGACGGGAATCAAATTTTGGTAGGAATAATGGGTCAATAATGTCTCTTTTAAAATCAATTTTAGGGAAAAGAAATTTTTTTAGTACGTCCATGTTCAGATGGCACTTCCTAAAAAAACTTTTCAAACGTTTTTCTTTTTTTTGTGATGAAATGGAGCTGCCTTACCTTTATTTAACAGCTCGTTGACCTCGTTTTGTGCCAAAAGCAGTGAAAAAAAAAGGCTGAAGCACCATATTTCACGAACTAAAAAGTGTTGTGAAAGCGAAGATCGCTCAGAATAATTCGCAGGTTTCTGAAGGAGGACTTATCGTCAAACTAGGTCAAGATATTCCATTCATGCTTAATTATTTGAAAAGTGACTGCCCGTTTGTCGCTTCTGTAACTTGTAGCCGGTATCAAATTGCATTCAAATGATCGGTGAATTTTTTGACTGCAACTTTTAAGTATACGATGAGATAGAAAATATTTCAATGGATGAAATTTCTATTTAGACATTCTTCAAATTCAAGAAAATTAATGCACCTATCAATGTAAATCCCGTAAGGGGGCGGGGGAGTGCACTGATCCGCCCTGTTCCGACATGTTGAGCAGATGTTATAAAGCATTTTACGTTTCATTAATATTATAATAGCACGGTCAATCTTCCTGGAGAGATTTTGTTGTTCAAAATAAGAGATGCTAGTAGAGACAGAAAATACTTAATTACAGCGAGTAACTTAACGGAGCTATACGTTAACCTTAAATAAAAGTAGTAAGAACGTACTTTTGAAATGTTCTTTTATTCGTTTTATATAGTATTATAGTATTGTTTGTTTAGATTTTTCCCTTGGGATGGGGGCTATTTTGACGCTTTTGATTGACCTTTCGTTTCCCACCCTGGGAAATTTGATCAAAAAATTTTAAAATTTGTCAAATCCCCACCCCTTGCCCGCACTCCCCCCCTCCCCCCCACAGGGTTTCATTGATAGGTGCATTAAACTGAGCCGGCAGAAATTTCATAACGAACTCGCGTGTGTATTCACTGCTCATTTATATAGCAAAAAAAATGCAGACTGAAATCAACAATAACGGATGGCGGCATTTGGGCCAATCGGAACAGCGCAAATCATCCGTAGTGTTTCCTATCCAATCAGAAAAAAGTCCAGATTCTGGCTTTTTTGCATATTTGTGAAAAAGAAAAGAAATTATGCCCTCCTCCCGAAAACAGATTACAGAGATAAAAGGAGAGTGCATGATCTCAGGCTGACGCTGCGAAGACGCGACGAGCTTCAACGAGCTACAAATCGTGAATAGCTAGTGCAGTCATAAAACGAAATTTCTTTGGTAAGTCTCATTCTTTTTGCAAGGTTAGTGAGAGTTAGCCTTAACAAGTTCCACACAAACAGTGTACATAATATTTTAACTCCCGATTGCCCTTCAATGCTGCTAATTGATCGTGTTAAAGGAGCTGTGTCACGAAATTCAGCCAAATTAGGTAATTACAAAATGCCCGTTAAATTAAGAGAAACGTAAAAACAACCGCTTAAAACATTAAGGATGGTTAAAATAACACAACAGATGCCACGGATGGGCAAACCTGAAGAAGATTGAAAAGGATTGAAATTGCGTAACATTTCGAAAATTTCTGATGTTTAAGTGTTCCTTCTGCTTTCTTCTATTTGTTTCGTTATCTTGTTTCGTGTGTCATATTATGCCTGAGTCTATTGCCAACCCTATTAATTTGGGAAAATTCGGTGAGGGTAGGCATGGCTTGCGGAATGACATAATTCATGGAATGTAATATATGCAGAATGACCCAAAGAAATAAATTAAACTGGAAAGTGCGCCCTTTTTTGGCGCCAATCAATCTGCAAACGCAGCCGCTGTTTATTGACATCACGAAGGCTCATTGTCGATCAGCCTTTTCCCCTCAGCCACTGAGCCACAGAGATTCTTCTTGCCTTTATTAATCAGGCTGATGGCAGCACGAATACTACAGCACGAAAGTCGGCCATAATTGAAGAAAAGATGTTTTGGAAGGTCACGCTCCCTTCTACTTTAATTTTTTCTGCAAAAATGTTTGCACGATTAACTTTACAGTTTCTTTTTACTTATATTTGTATTTGCAACCGCGAGAGAAGTGTTTCTTTTTCAAACGGTGGGTTACGTGATCGTGACATAATATTCAAAGATGAAACGGATTTTGCCCATGTATTTTGTTTCTTTATCTGCTTGGTTAAGTTTCCGGCACGCGAAGCTAACAGCTGGTTGAGAAGGGCGAGTCCGTATCCAGGCAATTGAGTGTGTGTCTTTTTGTTCGTTTTTTTCCCCATCCTACAGCTTTAGCATTTTTTCACGATCAAACGCACACACTCACACAAACAAGGAAGGTGCGAAGACCCCAGGGGCCCCACTCACATATTTTAATGACGGGGGGGGTCCGACAGAGGTTCATATTTTATACCCAAAAAAATCCCAACTTCAGAATTTGTCTACCTAAAAAAATCCCTACTTTTTTTAGCATACCCAAAAAAATCCCTCAGTGTTTTTGCATCAGCAAATTTTATTATTTATCTTCTGGAAAGCTAAAACATGCCAACTTCAACTTTGGTTTTGGTCAAAAATAAAACTATAAATTGCGCTTA